AGATTGAACCAGAGGAGTACTATCCATACTTCCTGGAGATGGTGAAAAGTTTGCTGGACGGGAACCTAGAATCTACACAGTACGAGGACCAGCTAAGAGAGATGTACGGTATCCATGCCTACATCGCATTCACCATGGAGAAGTTGGTACAGAACCTTGTCAGACAGGTGAGAGGACAAGTTTTTATTTGGAAACGTGTGTCTGTGTACTTTGGTATGATGTACACTTGTATACCATGAAATCAGTCATTTTTCATGGGGTTTAATTTTATTTTGGTATGTGAGATATGGAGAAACCTGTGAATTTATGACCATCACTAAATTCAAAATTTCTGGTCCATTACTAACTTTCTCCAACCATAAAATCAATCCCCACAAATCACTTTTTTTCCCTCAAAGGGAAACCTTGAAAAATTGACTCCATGAAAATGTGCGATTTTACAGTGATTCAGTCCTTTTTTTGGGGGGGTTGGGGTCAGTGAATAACTATGTCTTACAGTTTTTAGCTCACCTCGACGAAGTCGAGATGAGCTTATGCTATACCCCCGGCGTCGGCGTCAGTGTCGGCGTCAGCGTCGGCGTCCCAGGTTAAAGTTTTAAGAGCAAGTCCATTCCCAAGTAAATATTAGCCTCATCTGAACCAAACTTGCATGGATGATGCATCTAGGGATGTACACAACCAGACTTGCTTCGGATGCTGGATCTGACCTACATTTTCCAGATGAGTGACCAGGTTAAAGTTTTTGGAGTAGGTCTATTCCCAAGGAACTATAAGCCCTACCTGAACCAAAATTGCAAGGATGATGCATCTAGGGATGTACACTACCAGACTTGCTTCGGATGCTGGATCTGACCTACATTGTCTAGATGAGAGACCAGGTTAAAGTTTTTGGAGCAGGTCCATTCCTCAGGAACTATAAGCCCTATTTGGACCAAACTTTCATGGATGATGCATCTAGGGATGTACCCTACCAGACTTGCTTCGGATGCTGGATCTGAACTACATTTTCTAGATGAGTGACCGGGTTAAAGTTTTAGGAGCAGGTTAAAGTTTTTGGAGCAGGTCTATTCCCAAGGAATTATAAGCCCTACCCAGACCAAACTTGCATGGATGATGCATCTATGAATGTACACTACCAGACTTGCTTCGGATGCTGGATCTGACCTACATTTTCCAGATGAGTGACCAGGTTAAAGTTTTTGGAGCAGGTCTATTCCCAAGGAACTATAAGCCCTACCTGGACCAAAATTGCAAGGATGATGCATCTAGGGATGTAAACTACCAGACTTGCTTCGGATGCTGGATCTGACCTTCATTGTCTAGATGAGAGACCAGGTTAAAGTTTTTGGAGCAGGTGCATTCCTCAGGAACTATAAGCCCTATTTGGACCAAACTTGCATGGATGATACATCTAGGGATGGACACTACCAGATTTGCTTCGGATGCTGGATCTGACCTACATTTTCATTCCCAAGTAACTATGAACCCTAACTGAAGAAAACTTGCATGGATGATGTATTTAGGGATGTACACTACTAGACTAGTTTCAGAGGCTGGATCTGACCTACATTTTCATTCCCAAGTAACTATGAGCTCTATTTGGACCAAACTTGCATGGATGATTTATCTAGGGAGGGACACTACCAGACTTGCTTCGGATGCTGGATCTGACCTACATTTTCATTACCAAGTAACTATAAGCCCTACCTTAACCAAACTTGCTTGGATGATGTATCTAGGGATGTACACTACTAGACAAGCTTCGGATGCTTGATCTGACCTACATTTTCATTCCCAAGTAACTATAAGCCCTTCCTGAATCAAACTTGCATGGATGATGCATCAGGGGATGGACACTACCAGACTTGCTTCGGATGCTGGATCTGACCTACATTTATTCCCAAGTAACTATGATCCCTATTTGGACCAAACTTACATTGATGATTTATCTAGGGATGGACACTACCAGACTTGCTTCAGATGCTGGATCTGACTTACATTTTCATTCCCAAGCAACTATAAGCCCTTCCTCAATCAAACTTGCATGGATGATGTATCTAGGGATGGACACTACCAGACTTGCTCCGGATGCTGGATCTGACCTACATTTTTCATTCCCAAGTAACTGTAAGCCCTAGCTAAACCAAACGTGCATGGATGATGTATCTTAGGATGGACACTACCAGGCTTGCTTCGGATGCTGGATCTGACCTACATTTTCATTCCCAAGCAACTATAAGCCCTAGCTAAACCAAACTTGCATGGATGATGCATCTTAGGATGGACTCTATCAGACTTGCTTTGGATGCTGGATCTGACCTATATTTTCCATACAAGAGACCAGGTTAAAGTTTTGGGAACAGAGCAATCCGAATGAACTTGAAGTCTTTGATATCTGCAGTTTTAACTGTTATGAATATTTGTTTACACAATACACTGGAGGTACTACAGATATTAGAAGGTCTCCATCTCTGTAGTCCGATCACTTCCTGTATTTGTCTATCCTTCACTATGTTTACAGTACTTGCAGTAGGGTCAGTATAAACTAGATCTCCACTCTTTGTCGCTGTTATGTCTTCTGGTATATATCCTGACTTGGTTTGAATTGATTTCAGTAGTTTGCCCTGGAGGTTGTAGAGTTTCATGATGCTGTCATTTCCACATGTCCAGATTTCTTCATCACTGAGACAGGTAACACTATGTAGTGCTCCAAACCCAGTGTTTATGGTGGTGATAAGCTCTGGTTCATTAAGCAGTGGTTTGACTGGAGGACAGGATACAGCCTCTGGTGTCTTCATTGTGTAGCCATGTTCTTCTGTTGTAATAGATAATGCTGACAGAAAACCAAACATTTGATGGAGCTGTTCTGTGTTGATTTGATGAGGAGAGAACCTTGGTAATGAAACATTGACTCTAGGAGGTAAACTTCTGAATTCAGCATTCCTGGATTTATATACAGAGGTCAGGGAGACATCATTAGAGTCCAGTATTTTCTTCAGATTAAGTATGCTCTGTTTTACTTCAGTAGTAATCTGATTAATTTCTTTTTCCTGTTTGTTTAGAACAGTCAGTTGCCTTTTTTTCATATCATCAATTTCAGATTTTCGTTTGTTGACAATGATGGTAATTTCTCTGTGCCAGTCTTCTCCTTGTTTGGTGACAGCTGTTGTCAGTTTTTCATAATGTTTTTTAAAGTTTACTTTCTCATTGTTTAATTCTATTGTAATTTCTTCACATGTGGGGTAGATTCTTTTCTCTAGTTCTTCCAAGTCTTTTATTAAGTCTTTTTTCTTAGAATCTATTGTTTCCAGAACATCCGTAAATTTATGTCCGTGATGTTTATCAGAGGAGATACAGATAGAACAGACAGGAATGTCACATTTCTCGCAGAACAGTTCACAATGTTTCTTGGAATGGTTTGGACAGGCTGGGTAGTTAGGTGTAGAAGTTCTGTGTTTATATGGTACAACATTATGTCGTTTGGATGAATCAGAGAGATGCTCCCCTACACAGGCCTTACACAAGTTAATTTTGCAAAGTTCACAATGATTCTGTAATGCTGCTCTTTGACACAGGTCACAAAGGAGGAGAACTTGAGCTCTGTCCAGGGGATCCATTAATATTCTCACTTAACCAAGTCAAGGTGTTGCTGTAAAACAAAAAATGAAAATTATAATGTTTGTCCTGTGTTGAGGATTTTATTTTCAATGCTTTTGCAAACTAATAAAAAATTTTATCATATACTTAGTAGTAAATACACCGATTCTGCACGGTGTGATACGGGTGACGTCACAAAACCCCATATCACGGACGGGTCCGAAAAGCCATATCACGTATCGGACCGACGGGCCGAAAATCCATATCAAACCGGAAGAAACGTTTGTATTAAGTTTAAAAGTTAATTTACTTGATTTTATTTAAAAATTCATATAAAATAATTCTTTAATGACATTTGTGGTCTTATTTTATTTTCCAAATACCTAAAACTTGGCTTTATTAGATTTTAAAGAAAACTCACTAACAAGCACAAACATTCTTCAACCACCATATGTGAACCCGCATATGAAGTATTGTAAATATATGATAAATAGAATACTACATACTAAAATCCATTTCATATGTCACATCAGCCCTCGGGCCCAATATCAGCCCTGGGGCCACTCGGGCTGATATGACATATGATATGGATTTTAGTATGTAATATTCTCTATATATTAAATTGGTAAAAGTAAAATATATGAAATCATTATGATAAGGCCACACCAATTTAACACCAATTTAATTTCTTGGTCTTCGGATTTTTGACAGAAAAAATTGGGGCGAGCGAGCGATTTGAAAATTTTAAAAATTAAAAATCTGAAATTCAAAAACGTAGGAGCGATGTAAAATGAAAAGAGGCGAGCGATAATATTTTATTTTTTAAAAAACTGTTTATTTCAATTCATT